GTACCTTTTTGAATCCTATATCAGCAGCATATTCTCTAAAACATTGTCTGCATAAATTAAGGCCATATTTTCTAATTAAACCGTGGCCATTAGCACATGAACGGCTAAAACACAAAAATGTCACATCATCACGTGTAGAAGTTAATAATTTCATTTCAAAATGTATATCGAGATTAAAATAAGATAAAAAACTTACCAAGATCTCGATCCTTGGCCATATTTTCTTGGATGAGAATACCAAATGTTTTGAAAACCCATTTTTTCAAGAATTTATTATATAAATATGTATATCTTAGATACTCACTAGAAATGACGCAGTAAGCGGAAGTGGTAGAGCGATGAACGAAAGCAAATTACTCTATTGATTTTTTTCCTTTTGCTATTATTAAGGTTAATTTTTTAGCGGCAAAAACTAAACACAGTTACAACGTTTTTATTTTGAAATTCGAATTAAAAAAATTAATTTAATTATATTTTGTGAACGATAAAACGCTCGAGAATAAGTGTAAAAAGTTTTTAACGAAATTAATATATTTACTTTGAATTGTATTATTCAACGACTTTTAAATTAATTCGTTAAAAAAAAAAAATTTAATTTCAACGAATTATTTTAATGTTAATTAATTAATTTTCTTAATTTAATTAATTTAAAAAGTGAGAACATGATGAATTCTATTATTATTTACCTGTTAAAAACGAATAATGAGTTAAATTTAAGACAAAAAATGAATACTTGTGAGTTAAATTAAGTTTTTGTAAGGTAATGTACTAATATAATAAACCTTATTACAAATTCTTTTATACATCAAAGTTAAGAATTCTTTTAAACTTTTTATTTTTAATACATTCCAGAGGGGATTCTGTAATTATAATTTGCAATAATATTTCTACTCAAATTTTTCCTTAAATTTAATAAGAAATAATAAAAACCTTGCTAAAGTACAACAAAAAAAATTTTTTTCTGTACTTCTACTAATTAATGCTTTTATTATTTCAATCATTATTTTATAAAATTTCATAACATCATATAAGTATACCTTTAAAATTATTATTATTATTATTACTAAATTTTAAATACCATTTTCTTTTTTTTTTTTTTGGAATTTAAAAGTTTATTGTTTCTCACAAAAAAAAAAAAAGTAATAAAAGGTCAAAGTTTAGATTAGAAAAAAAAAAAAAGAGAATGAGTATAAAAAAAATAAAATAAAATTTTTTTTTAAAATAAAATTTATTGTTTATATTACAATATATCTAAATTAACAACAATAACCATTTAGGTAAATTTTTTTTTTTTTTTTTTGTTTAAATTTTAATTTAAACTAAATAAATTATGTAAATTTTTTTTTTGAAA